AATCTGAATTGTTTTTGGCGTACGCTATTTCCGCCTTTTGGCCGTACGTTCAGTTTTAGTATGGTTTCCACGCAATCCTTTATAAATGAGACCCCTGGCCACTATCCTGCAAGAAGATTGGCTTAAAATTCCTCCGACCACTGTGCAGGACTCATTCGTATATGTCATTCTCAAGACGAATTGACACTGTATTGGCCACAAAAGGAGGCCCTACACCATACTAATAAATTATTGTGGTCTAAAACCAGGTGTTTCAGTTTCATTGTCCAGCCCCTGTAGTTTGTTAAATTCCTGTGTGATTATTTCTGTGATTAAATTGATGATTTTATATACAGACTGGTATGGATGGCTAGATGATATGAGAGATATGGGAGCCATGTATTGACTTCCATTCGGCTTGTGGAAATTTTATAGCCTAACCCTGACCATTTATCCTAAAATTAATGTCACAGGTAATGTCACCTGACCATAAAACGAACCTAAACTCAATTCATACCTTGGTTGTAAACCTAACTTCTCACCCGAAATTAGCATCTGTACATGTGGGGACCGGGCTTTGATCCCCACGATGCAAATTCGGTCCCCACGAGTCTGCCTTTTTCTGGCAGTTGGTTCCCACGATGTAGCAAAAATGTGCCCCCATCCTCCCCAGACATATGCCTTGTTCTGTACCGTGGTTCCTACACCTGTTCAACACATCCTCTGGGATTATGGCCCTGGAGAGAGCTGCTGCATGTTGTCGACAGTAWAAAAATTAATTTGTTTCAGAGCTGTATTAACTGGGTCAAAGATTATCTAGATATATGGTTGGTAAATTAAAACTGAGGAGACATAAAGCTAATAATAATGCCATTATCAAACTTCAACTATTTATTTTTAACTGCTAGTACGAATGCTCTTCTATTAAACATCTCTTCATCTCCATTTAGTTCTATCAACACCAAGTCAAGCATGTATGTTATTACTATATATTATTAGCATGTTAATGAAGCAGTGATTGTTGACACTTGTGATGCCTCTCAGAAAAACTGGTTGACCTGTTGTTTGATTTCTACATTAATGTAGTGACAATTCTTTGAAAGGCATTAATCCCAGCAAAAGAGAACCATCACTTTTGCTCAGATTTTCTCTTTTAACTATCTGTCTTCATCCTGTTTCCCCTTCTTGCAGCAATGATTGGGTTGTTGTACCCCTGCATCGACAGTCGGCTCGGCGAACCACACAAATTCAAGCGGGAATGGTCGAGTGTGATGCGCTGTGTGGCTGTGTTTGTTGGTATCAACCATGCCAGTGCTGTATCCTTTTCTTTCTTGATGTTTGATTTGGTAGGGAAACCCATTAATTTATATGAAGTTTTATTCAGAGGAGATGCTACTAAAGAACAGATAGGCAGTTCAATATCTGCAACTTTTTCTAATTGACAGAGCATGCCTTGTGTTTGTCAAAACAGAGAGCCATCTCATAGTCCTGTCAGTTCATTGCTGAAAAAGTTAAAGTAACCTACCTGTTTTTCAACAGGATGGTATAATGTCCAACAGGCAGGTTGATCTTTGAAAAGAAAGTTCAAAATTGTACTTTGAACCTTCCTGTTGGACATTGGTCCTTCCTGTTGGACTTTAAACTTTTTCAGAAGACGTAGAGACTTTCTGATGGATCTCTAACTTTCTTGTCAGATCTTGAATCATCCTGTTGTGTTCAGTCTGTGTTATAAAAACTTCTATTAGCAGGTCTCTCCGTTTGCAACTTTGGAGATTGTCTGAACTCTCTAGAACTGCCTTTATCCTTGAATAAAAAATCAGAGGTAAAGTGAACGTGTTTTCCAAGCATCTGTATTGTAGGACTGCTACTGTACGTAAATGCACTTTGTTGCTGGCCAGTGTAGGTTTGCTCCTTGACCTCCTTGTCTTTCAGAAGGTGGACTTTGCTAACAATGTGCAGCTGTCTCTGACTTTAGCAGCACTCTCCATTGGTTTATGGTGGACATTTGATCGCTCCCGCAGTGGCTTTGGCCTAGGAGTTAGTATCGCTTTGCTGGCAACTCTGGCGACCCAGCTCRTGGTTTACAATGGAGTCTTTCAGTAAGTACCCTCACAAACAAAATCTGAACACATTTTGGTGAAGAATGTGAAACATACAGGGAGGACAATGTGTGGGAACTTCAAACAAAGTGTGTTTGGGCTTTTCTGTGTATCAGTGTTCAAATTAGTTTTTTTGCTAGGTCCCTAGTTAGAGTTTTCTGGATGTCAGGTCTCAGGTTAGAGTTTTATGGATGGTGAGTCAGACTTTTCGTGATGTCAGGCTTCATGCTAGAATTTGCATTTTTATACAAAAATTTATTACGTTTCAGAGTTACAGTCATATGAAAAAGTTTGGGCACCCTTGTTAATTTTCCTGATTTACCTTTATAAATCATTGATTGTTTGGATAAAAAAAATCAGTTAAATAAATCTTATAGGGGACAAACACAGTGATATTTGAGAAGTGAAATAAAGTTTATATGATTTACAGAAAGTGTGCAATAATTGGTTAAACAAAATTAGGCAGGTGCATAAATTTGGGCATCGTTGCCGTTTTTTTGATTTCAAAACCTTTAGAACTAATTATTGGAACTTAAGTTTGGTTTGGTAAGTTCAGTGACCCTTAACCTCCATACACAGGTGACTCCAATTATGAGAAAGGGCATTTAAGTTAGGAAATTGTAGGTTTTTCATCTCTTTGCGTCTTCTCTGAAGAGTTGCAGCGTTGGAGTCTCAAAACAACTTTCAAATGAGCTGAAAACAAAGATTGTTTACCATCATGGTTTAGGGGAAGGATACAGAAAGCCATCTCAGAGATTTCAGCTTTCAGTCTCCATTGTGAGAAAATGGAAGACCACAGGCACAGTTCAAGTCAACGACTGAAGTGGCAGACCAAGACAAATCTCCAATAAACAGAAACGAAGGATGTTGAGAACAGTCAAGAGTCAACCCACATACCAGCACCAAAGACCTACAACATAATCTTGCTGCTGATTGAGTCACTGTGCATCGTTCAACTATTCAGCACACTTTACACAAGGAGATGCTGTATGTGAGAGTGATGCAGAGGAAGCCTTTTCTCCGTCCACATCACAAACAGAGCCGCTTGAGGTATGCTAAAGCACCTTTGGACAAGCCAGCTCTGTTTTGAAATAAGGTGCTGTGGACTGATGAAACTAAAATAGTTATTTGGGCAGAACAAGGTCCGTTATGCATGGCAGAAAAAGAATACAGCACTCCCAGAAAAACACCTGCTACCTACAGTAAAATTTGGTGGTGTTTCATCATGCTGTGTGGCCAGTACAGGGACTGGGAATCTTGTTAAAGTTGAGGGACGCATGGATTCCAATCAATATCAGCAGATTCTGGAGACCAATGTCCAGGAATCAGCGGCAAAGCTGAAACTGCACCGGGGCTGGATCTTCCAACAAGACAACAACCTAAACACTGCTCAAAATCTACTAAGGCATTCATGCAGAGCAACAAGTATGCTCTGGAATGGCAATCTCAGTCTGAATATTATTGAAAATCTGTAGTGTCACTTAAAGAGAGCTGTCTGTGGTTGGAAACGATCAAACCTGAATGAACTTGAGATGTTTTTGTAAAGAAGAGTAAAATACCTTCAGCCACAATCCAGACTCTCATTAGAAGCTGTAGGAAGCATTTAGAGAATGTTATTTCTGTGAAAGCAGGATCTACTAAATATTAAGGTATTTTTTTTGGCGCCCAAATTTATGCACCTGCCTAATTTTGTTTAACCAATAATTGCACACTTTCTGTAATCTTATAATAGTAGAGCAGATAACTGAAAAAATAGTTCAAATCCGGAAACAAGCACCAAAATTTGCATGTTTATCCTTCTTAAACAACTTATTAGAAAAAAAAAAAACGTTAGTCACTTAAAATTTCAAAATGGCCACCATTTTCCAAGATGGCCACCATTTCTGGCATAAGAAACGCATATTTAGCTACAGAATTGGATTCCCTGGACCAATTTAGATTATTTTTGAATTGAATCCTATGTTTCTGACTATGGGGAAGTTAATTTTATAGGTTTGAATTCTTTTTAGGGCTTCTTTTACCATTTCTAAACAAAAAAGTGGAAAAAATACACCTAAAACACAGAATAATTACAGCAAAACATTTTTTATGCGTAGTGTACCAGTACAAAAAGAATGTTTGGATATTAAATTGACCAATCTAATTCAGCAACATATCATAAAATTACAAAAGGTTAATGTCCACAGCATAGGAGTCACCAGTCCAACATCAAAAGATGTTCAATATATACCATTACCAGTCTACTTTAAGACATTGGAATTGACACATCACATCTACAGCTGCACTGTCCAGTACAGCTCAGACCAAAGCAATAGCATTTGCATCGTCCACYGCACTCTGACTTGCATCCACACTTGGTCAGTTGCTGACAGCTCTCTGCAGAAGATCTGCCACAGATCAACTTCCTTGGTCCAGCCCCAGTCGGCAGGACTCTGTTTCTGGCTGACATGCCATTTTATCACTCCATATGCAGCCAGCCTGGTAGACAACATACTTTACATGCTGCAGTAGAGCTGCTCGAGTAGGAGGAATGGCCTCATCTGGTCTCTGCTTCTGAGCAAACATGTCTAGCCTGGCGTCATCAATACCATCAGCTGTACTGGACATGTCATACATCATGGCCACAAACTTCTCCAAGGTCTTGAGGTCATCATCATCTACTGCTGGTGGGTACTGCTGAGTTTGCTGAAGACATCAGAAGCCTCATCACACACATCCCAGATCTGCCATGCTGACTTCTTCCCTTTCCCACGGAATGCTGAGACAACATCGCAACTAGTGAAGGCATGAAAGAAAATAATTCCTCTGGTCTTCTCCAGTGCAAGAGAGAGGCACAGGTCATGTATTGGGATCCACCTCATGTCCTGTCTTTGGCCAAAGGCTTCTGTAGACCAATCTTCTGGAGGGTTGGCAGAACACTGACTGCTATGACCAGAACATCTGTGTCACTGGCATTGACCATAAGGAATTTGCTGCCTTCTTCTGCTGCGTGTTTGGCATGTACAAAGATCCAGGTGTCGGCTTCTTCATGGCTACAAGGAGCCACCCCAGCCAGGTTGATGGTGTGGTTGCTGACAGCATCTTCTTTGGTCACAATGACCACATTTGGTGCAGCCATCTGTGCAGTCTTGTCAGCCAGGAAGTTGAACAACTCAGTTTTGCTGTCATTGTCTTGGAGGAAATTCTGCCAGTTTGAAGGGACTTTGCCCTTTTCTGTCACCCTGCGTCTGCCTCCCTGTCCTCACTTTGACCTAGCTTCAGCCTTCAGACTTGATGGCTTGTAGACATCAAACACAAAATCTGTCCTGCTGTACTTGGTGAAGTAGCCTTGTATAGTTGGAAGAACATCAAGTACTGCATACTCCTCAAAAGTCTTTGAGGTCCTTGGTTGCAGACTATTCACTAGTGCTGAACAATCAATGATAATGGTGGGATGGTAGCTTGGGTCTCAAGGATGGTAGTAAGCTGGGATTTCTGACAAGGTGTGAAGCTTTCCCCCATCACTCAGAGCAGCAGGGAATGCCTGGTTCTCATGCTGAAAGAAGACAGTAAGGTCACCCAGTAGGGTTCTCAGCTCTGGCAGGAGATGAAGAGCTTTCAGAAGAGCTGGCAGTCCTCTTTCAGCACCTTTTCCTTTGATGCACCACATGAGGACGATTCCTGTCGGAAAAAGTGTATCTGGTTCTTCTTGATTGGGTCATAGAATGTGAAATCTCCACCCTCTTGTCCGTTCATGAACTGCTGAAAATGCATCCTATCCTTCTTGATGTGTGTACCAATCAGTTCAGCTGCAGTGTGGTGBGCAATGTCCTTTGTGTCCAATGATAGCAGGTCCTGGCTCACTTCTTGGAATGGATCACCCATATCTGTAATGGCACTGGAAAGCTTTTCAACCTTCTCAAGGAACACCCATTGAGCTTGTTCTGTCTGCTCATGGTGACTGGTATGTTGAGTACCCTCTTTGGTTACAGATGCTGCCTCATGCTGCTCAACCAGGTGGCTGACTTCAGGACCAGCTACCATCCATCTTCTCCGTGCTGATGGATTTTCAGTTAAGCCGATTGCTCCCCCATCAGCCTTGATGACTGCATTGGCCTGCTCATGATCTTGGTCGATGGCCATTGCTGAGAAGCCTCGACCTGATTTGTGTATAACAGATTTACCTCTCTTGAACTCTTGAGCCATCTGGGGATGTTTCTGTTCCAGGGTCACCATGTCTCTGAGATGGATGGGGAGCCACTGTGCATAGTTCACATTGTTGTTGGCAAAGAAGTATGGTATCAGCTCGGCCAGTGATTGACAGAACAGGTCGAGGTTGGCTTCTCTGAATGACCGGATCAGCAGGAAGATCGTCAGTTCCATCGACAGTATCAGATGCCAGAACTGAAACTGTGGACCTTCCAGTTTGCGACTTTCACACCAAGCTTCAAAGCTGAGCACTTCCTCTGTGCTTGCAGCTGRCCCACTGGAGTAGTCGGTGTAGGCTGCCTTCAGAAGTTTGTACAGACTGCATGCTGTTACAGTGGGGAAAATAAGTATTTAGTCAGTCACCAATTGTGCAAGTTCTCCCACTTAAAAAGATGAGAGAGGCCTGTAATTGACATCATAGGTAGACCTCAACTATGAGAGACAAAATGTGAAAAAATATTTGAAAAAATCATTTTGTCTGACTTTTAAAGAATTTTTTTGCAAATAATGGTGGAAAATAAGTATTTGGTCACCTACAAACAAGCAAGATTTCTGGCTGTCACAGACCTGTAACTTCTTTTTTAAGAGGCTCCTCTTTCCCCCTCTCATAACCTCTATTAATGGCACCAGTTTGAAGTCGTTAACACAACAGTATAAAAGACACCTGCCCACAACCTCAAACAGTCACACTCCAAACTCCACTATGGTGAAGACGAAAGAGCTGTCGGAGGACACCAGAAACCGAATTGTAGACCTGCACCAGGCTGGAAAGACTGAATCTGCAATAGGCAAGCAGCTTGGTGTGAAGYAATCTACTGTGGGAGCGATAATCAGAAAATGGAAGACATACAAGACCACTACTAATCTCCCTCGATCTGGGGCTCCACGCAAGATCTCAGCCCGTGGGGTCAAAATGATCACAAGAACGGTGAGGAAAAATCCCAGAACCACAAGGGGGGGATCTAGTGAATGACCTGCAGAAAGCTGGGACCAATGTTACAAAGGCTACCATCAGCAACACACTACGACGCCAGGGACTCAGATCTTGCAGTGCCAGACGTGTCCCCCTGCTTAAGCCAGTCCATATCCAGGCACGTCTGAAGTTTGCTAGAGAYCATTTGGATGTTCCAGAAGAGTATTGGGAGAATGTCATATGGTCAGATGAAACCAAAGTAGAACTATTTSGTAAAAACACAACTCYTCYTGTTTGGAGGAAAGTGAATGCGGAGTTGCATCCAAAGAACACCATACCAACTGTGAAGCATGGGGGTGGCAACATCATGCTTTGGGGRTGTTTCTCTGCAAAGGGACCAGGTTGACTGGTCCGTGTACATGAAAGAATGAATGGGGCCATGTATTGTGAGATTTTGGGTGCAAACCTCCTTCCATCAGCAAAGGCAATGAAGATGAAACGTGGCTGGGTCTTTCAGCATGACAATGATCCCAAGCACACTGCCAGGGCAACAAAGGAGTGGCTTCGTAAGAAACATTTCAAAGTCCTGGAGTGGCCTAGCCAGTCTCCCAATCTCAACCCCATCGAAAACCTTTGGAGGGAGTTGAAAGTCCGTGTTGCCCACCGACAGCCCCAAAACATCTCTGCTCTAGAGGAGATCTGCATGGAGGAATGGGCCAACATACCAGCAACAGTGTGTGCCAACCTTGTGAAGACTTACAGAAAACGTTTGACCTCTGTCATTGCCAACAAAGGATATACAACAAAGTATTGAGATGAACTTTTGTTATTGACCAAATACTTATTTTCCACCTTTATTTGCAAAAAAATTCATTAAAAGTCAGACAAAATGATTTTCTCAAATTTTTTTCACATTTTGTCTCTCATAGTTGAGGTCTACCTATGATGTCAATTACAGGCCTCTCTCATCTTTTTAAGTGGGAGAACTTGCACAATTGGTGACTGACTAAATACTTATTTTCCCCACTGTATCTGGTGTATTTGCCGTGTCCTAGTGATGCTTGAAGCTGTCAGGAATGATTCTGTTGTGCCAAAGGATGCTACCTCTGCCTCTACGAGCACCCTTATCCAGCCACTGTCCTGGAGTAGAGTTCCAATTGATTTCAATGCAGCCATCTCAATATGCAGGCCCCCAAACGATGATAAACTTGTCTTAACCAAAGTTATCAGGCCAGTGCCACAGGACCTGCTTAGCCACTGCATATATTGGCTGGTCAGCAGCGATGATGGGCACCTGACCTGGGTTCAGGAATGCCACCAGGTTCTTGATCTTGTTCATCACGTTTGACTGTAGCAACCTTGTGGGTCTGATCTCGTAGCAGAGGTAACAGTGAATAATAGTTAATAACAGTGGTAACAGTTTCATTATATTACTGGGATATGGTACAAGAAAGCTTCTGAATAATTCCAGAGCTCAAAAGTCAGCTTCTACATGTTCAAAAATGTATGATTTGACACCAAGATCAATAGTGTAGGACAAATATCTACAATTTTATTGCAAAAATGGATTTTTGATAGCCAAAATGGCAGCCATCTTGAAAAAAGGCTGCCATTTTGAATTTTTAAGTGGCTAATMTTTTTTTTTTTTTTCAAAAAAGTATTCCCCAAGGAGGATTTGTGRCACTTTTGGTGTTTGTTTCCAGATTTGAACGGTTTCAGTAAAATTTTAGTTATCTGCTGCAGTATAATCTTCATTTCACTTCTCAAATATCACTGTGTTTGTCCCCTATATGATATATTTAACTGATTTTTTTATCCAAACAGTCAATGATTTATAAAGGTAAATCAGGAAAATTAACAAGGGTGCCCAAACTTCTTTAAATGACTGTATGTACTTCTCTCCTGCTCAGGTATACGTCTCCAGATTTTCTCTACATTCGGTCTTGGCTCCCATGCATCTTCTTTGCTGGGGTTATCACCATTGGAAACATTGGGCGACAGCTAGCCTTGGTAAGGAAATTGTGTATAAATTCTAAAACTGTAAAATTTATAAATGGCAAATGGACTGAACTTATAGAGCACCTTATCAAGTCCCTCCGGACCCCAAAGCACTTTATATTCACCCATTCACACTCACATTCACCCAGTGATGATGGCAAACTACTTTGTAGCCACAGCTGCCCTGGGGCACACTGACAGAATCGAGGCTGCCATGCACCGGCGCCACCAGACCCTCTGACCACCATCAATTCAATTCAATTCAGTTTATTTATATAGCGCCAAGTCACAACATTCGTTCTCTCAGGGCACTGTACATAAAAAAGAACAATCTAAAGATGAAACCAGCAGGCTGRGTTGAATCCCTTCATCACAGTCTCCGATCCTGAGCAAACGGTGGAGAGGAAAAACTCCCTGCTAATCAGGAAGAAACCTCCAGCAGAACCAGGCTCAGGACAGGTGGCCATCTGCCTCGACCGGCTGGGTTTGGGGACAGGAAAGAGACACAGGTAAACACAGAAGAACTGGTCCAGGACTGGTCCAGGTGCACCTTCTTCTGGAAGAGACAAAGAAAAAACATGTTATTGATAGAAATAATTACCATAAACATGTAATAAACATACCATACCAACATACCATAAACATTTCTGCAATCTGAGAGCGAAGGGCTCTGTTAGGAAAGTATGGCGCAATAAGATGTTTAATATACGATGGAGCTACAGGCAATGGTCTGAAGTCATAAGAGAATAGTTGAACATTGTTTAATGTTGTTTTACAGACATTAAAGAAAAAACTGCATTTCTGAAGGAGCTTTAAAAATTCAGCCACTGAGGCCTTTAAACATAAACGTGAGGCACAGAATGGTTTGTAAGGTCACATTTTTTATGCAAAATCTTTTTATATGAATATGTTAACTATTAAACTGAACCTAATATGTGGGGCGGCTGTGGCAGAGTGGTTAGGGGAGTCGTCCTGGAACCAGAAAGGTCACTGGTTCGATCCCCCGTCCAGCCGTCTCAGTCGTTGTGTCCTTGGGCAAGACACTTCACCCACCTTGCCTACTGATGGTGGTCAGAGGGTCTGGTGGCGCCGATACATGGCA